GAGGAGGGATAATTTAAAAGTGATGTATGATAGGGTATTATGGTTATCACAAGAGTCCACAATTAAGGTTGCATAGTGGAATGTACTTGGGGTGGTGGGAGGGGTGCGGGGGGATTGTGTACCAGGGAGGGAGTGTTTCTTTTACTTTTCAAAGAGAGGAGCGAACTGGGGTGGGGGGGAGGGCTGGGAGGGGAAAGAAGTGCAGCAATGAATGAATGGAAATCCAAAATCTCTGTAAATGTTCATTAAAATTATTCAAAAAAATTTAAAAAAAAAAAACACAAAGACAGAGAAGGAAGACAAGACCAAAATGGATGTCAGAAGAAACTGAATATTGCACTGGAGCGCAGAGAAGCCAAAGCAGAAGGAAGAATTCAAGATACTAGAGAGCTGAACAGAAGATTTCAAAAGGCAGCACAGGATGACAAAGTAAAATATTACAATGAAATGTGCAAGAAGCTGGAGTCAGAAAATCAAAAGGGCCGAACTCGCTCAGGATTTCTTAAGCTCAAGGAACTGAAGAACAAATTCAAACCTCGAGTTGCTATAATCAAGGATCCTTTAGGCAGAATATTAAATGATCCAGGAAGTATTAAAAGAAGATGGAAAGAACATACTGAGACAATGTATCAAAAGCAATTGGCAGACACAGAAGAATTTCATGAAACAACATATGAGTAAGAGCCTAAGATGATAAAGGAAGTTCAAGCTGCTTTGAAGGAAACAGTAAAAAATAGGCCCCAGGAATAGATGGTATACCAATTGACATATTTCAGTTCACAGATGCTGCCGTGGACATGCTCACAAAGCTGTGCCAAGAAATCTGGAGGACAACCACTTGGCCAACTGACTGGAAAAGCTCTTTATTTGTTCCCATTCTAAAGAAGGGTGACCCAACAGAAATTAAGGTGATGCATCCAAAAACGTAAGCGCTCATGATGTCTGCAACTCACACACGATAAGAAACTGCACTGGAAACCCAAAGGCAAGCAGTTCAAATCCCCCAGATGCTCCGCAGAAGAACAGGCAATCTCCTCTTGTGCAATTTACTATTTCCAAGAACCCACTGGAGGATCAGCTACAGGTCAATTCTGACTTGTCAGCAAAACAACAATATATACATATATATGTAAACAGATTTAGACAATTAAAATATGAACAATTGCTGAGTTTAGGTGGTGAAGTGAATAAAGGTGATAACTGTATTATTCTTTTTACCATACATTTATTTTACTTAAAACAGCCATTTAAAAAGGTCCTGTTACATTTACTCCAGAAAGACATCTCAAATGAAATTAATGCTCTCCTAAACCTTGTTGTTAGCTACCAGTCAGCTCCAACTCATTGTATCATTATTCCATGAACAATGGAACAAACCAGAAATATTGTGGTCCACAGTGTTTTCTCTGGCTGATTCCCCAAATGGATCACCAGGCCTTTTTTCTTTGTCCATCTTTGGAAGCTCTACTGAAACCTGGGCAGCATCACAGCAACATGCTAGCTTCCACTGAGAGGTGGTGACTCAAATGAGGTCCAGTGGCCAGAAATCAAACCTGACTCTATTCTGGAAGGGAGAACTCTACCACTGAGCTACCAATACCTCCCTCTAAACCTTAAATCCTTTACATGGTCCTCTGAGCCTGGAATACAGATGTTACTGTTCCCACTGTTTTCAACTGTCCTCTGGTTTTACACACTTTAAAGATTTGGTTTTCCAACAGCATTTTATGCTCCTTCAGTTACAAGATCTTTTAATTATTTTCTATCCCTTCACAGCTTAGAGTGAAGTGTTCTGCAGCCAGCAAACTGGCGAAAAAAAATGCTATTACCAAGTCTCATCACAAAGAAGGAATTGAGTAGAGCACCTTAACTAGCTGAGTTAGTTTTTTAAATTCAATAGTTTTTTTTAATTCAACACTCCTTAAGAGAAAGGCTGTTCACGTGAACAAACAATTCTGAGTCACACAGTCTCCACAGGGAAAATGATGCATCGTCTCCTCCCATTACGATTTACAGTCTCAGAAACAGAGGGGTCACTATGAGTTCAAACTGATTCAATGGCAGAGTTTTAGTTTTTGAGTCACATGGCTTTATTCTCAAAATATTATTCTACATTCATTCATTCAAATAAACCACCCCATTTGCAAAATTTTAACAATACTTATCGCAGTTGTAATGAAGCTTAACAAGCTACATAACAAACTTTAAATCTCCAGACAGACAACTGCACAAGAATGAAAACTTTTGATAGCAATGCTGGGGAGAAAACAGACCTCTTACACTACTGACATCACTGTAAACTAGTATAACCTCTGTGGGAGGCAACTTACCAATTAAAAATACATAAACAATCTGAGTCAATACTGTCATCAGAAATTTATTTAACAGATAAAAACATACAAGGAAGTGAGTACCTACTGGAAATAATCTAATGTCCAAAACGTGGCTGAATAATGGTACAACTATAGTGTCATCCTGCAAAAAGGATTAAGTCCTACATGTACTGTGTGTATGCAATGATCATCAAGATACAGTTAAGAGGGGGAAAGCAGAATAGTGCATAAAGCACCTTTACCATTTGTGTAAAAACAAATGAACAAACAAAACTCACTAAAGCACAGAAAGTATATACACTTGTGTGCACAGACAATCTCTGGAATGAAAGATCAATAAGATAGATACAGAGAACAATGATCATCTTTTGGAAGTCACTAGACTTTTCACTCCCTCTTTCTGGACTCATATCTTTTCTACTCCCTCATACCTTTTATTTTTTTTTATTTTATTATTTTTTGTGCATGTACCGTCAAATCAGATCTGACTGGTACAGGAGGAGATTGTCCCTCCTTCTCTGGCAGAGCATCTGGTGGATTCGAACAGTGTACCTTTGGGATTGCAGTACGACATCTTGCCACTACGCCACCAGAGCTCCCTCCCTCATACCTTTTAAATTCATTTCACAAATATGTGCATGTGTTACTCATTTTAAGGAGTTAAGTTTTTAACATAAAAAGCTCTGTGCCAATGTATATTAATGATCTCATTAATACTCATCCTAAAAGCACTGCATGTTTACATACTATAATTTTTAATTCAACCAGATGAAATGTCTCCAGGTAAGAACAAAACATCCCAAATGACAGAAGCCTACTGAAAAAAAAGATGACCACTGATTACCTCCACTTCACTTCATGATTTCCACAAGAACTTGGTAAAAGATCGCACAATGTCAGTATTAAACATCAAGTATCCAACTACTCACTTGAAAGAAAGTTATAAAAGAAGTCACCAAAGAACCAAATGAACACAAACTACCCCAACCCTATGTGTGCACCTGTCACACATACACACTCCTTAGTCTTTGCACAAGGGGGAGAAAAAAAAATCAGTCTCCAGCTCTTTCCCAAGACACAAAATGATGTATGTACCATAAATTCTTATGCGTCCTATGTCATCGCTTGGATGCAACTGTAACCATGGCATCAGGAAACTGCACAAAACCAGCCAAACCATGCAAACATCAGGGTTAAATGAGGACTTGAAATAGATAGATAGATAGATAGATAGATAGACAGACAGACAGACACTAATGTCATCCTCAGAGTTAAGAATGACACTCAAAAAAATTCTTGAAAGAAGAAAAGCAAAGGAATTAAAATATCCTCCATACTGGTTATCCAGATAGGAGACAGAATTGGCAGGGATAACTGAACATGCCTCTTCCCAACAATTTAGCTATTCATTTCAATGTTATTCAGAAAGCCTTTTGCAAGTAAAGGTTTATCTTTCCCCCATTCCATTCAGATGGCAGAAGCAGAAGCAAAATATTCGAGAGTGGAAACACAGAAGCAACTTAAAGGACAAAGTATTACCTGCCAACTAAAAAGCCAACTCCTAAATCAATGAAATACTGTTGTACTTTAAAGTTCCTTGTTTAAAATTTCTTTTTAAACATTAACAGCATTACTCCCTTCCTTAAAACCTCCACTCGTTGAGTTACAGTCCACCAGTCATGTCGCTTTTGTTTTCTGATGGTCAGAGCATTAATAATACACAGCTAAAACGAAAGCGCTTTCACAAAAAAAAGAGGCAAATAGGTCACACAAATTAAAAGAACTGGCAGATGAGAAACTTGATGTCTTGATTTACGAACTTAAGCTGTGTACCTTATCTAGTTCCGTAAAGAGGTAAGGATATTACTTAAAGGAAATCCCCTGACTTACTTTCTTTTCTAAGGTCCTCAGTACTCCTTTGAAAGGTTACCAAAAAGTCCCTGTCAGAATAAATGAACAAGCTGAGGCAATCTATTTTTAAAACTATGCACTATGACATAACGACAGGAGTAAGAAAAATTAATCCCAGAACTAGACGTTACAGTGTCAGTTTCAAAAGAAGGGTCAGCGTGGGACACTTTGGCTCTGGGAAGCATGTGTCACCCGGGAGTCTCTGGGGCAACATTAGACGCAAACAGTGTTTGGCCCCTAAATCCCTCAAATTCTCTCTTTCCGGACAGAATTAACCATCTTACTATCTGGATGCCAGTCTAGCCTCGATAGTGGGGGGAAAGTGAGGTGCGTGGTCAAGTAGCGCTTTATCCCGCAGGTCCCCGCAACATAGCGATGCGCATGCGCCCGGGGGGCAGCGAACATGCACCCCAAGCTCGATCAGACTCGGGCATGCGCAGTAAGCTATCTCGCCGCAGGCGACAGCTCACTATTTGGCAAGGGGGATGGGGCTGGGAAAATGATAGGGGGGGTGTTGAAAGCAGGGGGCGCGTTTGTGTCTCCTGAATGCTTAGGATTGGGAGAAGGGACGGTTGGTTAGGCTCTGGCTTTCGCAAGCCACGTAACCCAGCAAGTGAGAAATGAGGCAGAGAAGAGTATGTGTAGTGTGGTGGGTGGGGGTTGTGTGTGGGGGGGGGGTCAGGCACCTCCTAAGGGAGGCGCCCCCTCCACTCCAACAGGACAACCCCCTCCCTCGACTCTCCTCTCCCTACTCACCTGAGAACGGCGGCGACAGCTGCTGATCCCCGTCCCCCTGCGCTCGCCTCATACTGTCCGCAACATCCGGGACCTGCGGGACCGCCGATACACAAATATATACACACACACACACACACACACACACTCACACACTCACACACTCACACACACACACCGAGACACACCAGCCAGAGCGTCATGGCGTCAGCACGTCGACGCAACGAGCGCGTACCCGGCGAGCCCCACCCCGCGCGGCCTTTCCGCGTTCTTCCCCCTTGCTTCTCCCTTCCCTCCCTGTAGCCTCCTCTTCCTCAAGCCTCCGCCTCCCTCCCGTAGTGCGCATGCGCTCTGGGACGTCGCCATGGGGAGGGGCCTGGAGTAGAGGGAAGGAGGGGCCTGCAGGGAAATAGGCGGGAACTCAGCGGGGGTCGCGTGCACTTATCCTCGCGCTGAGGTGCGAGGACCTAATAGAGGGATGTCCGCATGGGTAGGGTAGGGAGTGGAAGGCATAACAATAAAAGTGTTTAGCAACAGAAATTTACGTTGCACGTAGTTTATGGCTTTCCAATGACTTTTACATCCATTAACAATTTTTTTAAAAAATCAGTTTTTGGACACATGGTAATGCTAGATGCCCTTTTAAGTTACTTAAAATGTAGAATTCAAAGACAAAACAAAAAGGATCATTCATTTGAGGGGAAGGTGGAGAGCATAGATGGCCTACCTGAAAGGAAGCCGATTTAGCGACAATTTCTTTTCTTGACAGCCTAGTCCCCAGCCTGCCTCACCTCCAGCTCCCAGGAGCTATTAGTGATTCTTGAGTTGAGAAAAATGGGGGGGGGGGCGGGGAACAACAGAGCAGCTTGGTCCTGGGAGAAGAAAGTCACCTCCCTGTTACAGTAGTGACGTCAATGAAGGGGATATTTGTTAGTGCTACGATTCTTCCTTCTAGCTTAAATCTTTTAAAAAAATGTTCTTACTGAATCAAGCCAACTAATCCAGAGCTCTAGACCCAGGATTTTTTTTTCCTACTGAGAATGACATTACATAGACATGCACATGACATTGAATTCAAAGAGCTACTCAATGAACCTCTGCGTGGCAAAGTGTGGACTCTGCCTTGGGAACAGCTTCTGAGAGCTCCACTGCCTTTCAGGCCAGTGGGACTGTCTCCAGGAGACGGTGCTACACTGGTCCTGGTGCCAAGTGGCTGGTTAGTCTGTTCAGCGAGGAAAGCTGAGTCACGAGCACAGCCACAAGGTTTTAGAATGCACTCCCTGACTGAGCCAAACTCAGCTTTCAAACACAAGAAGACCCTAGAGCCTAGAGTTTAACGTTTCCTCAGAATTACGAGCAAAATACTCCAAACACTTGTACACTAGCACTTGTACAACACAGATGTTAGCCAGAATCAGGAAGAGATGGAGATCCCAAATTTACAATAATGTGCTTGGATCCTATGCCCATTTTAAAGGGAGCTCTGGTGGCTCTATGATAAGAAGTTGCTCTGCCAACCCAAAGGTATGGTGTTTGTATCCACTAGCTGCTCCAAGAGGCAGAGATGCAGTTTCCTCCCACGTGATTGAAAGCATCTGACAACCTGTTAGATTGTCAGCTATGAGCCCGTTCAGACAAGATGGCAAACAACAACATTCCCACTTAGAAAAAAGTTTTCATCAACATTATTAGGCTGACGTAGGTAGGACACTTTCCTATTAGCTTTCAATTAGCATCATATCAACAAAAATTCTATGTTTTAACTAAAAGCAGCAATATTTGTGTCCTTGTGGAAATTCAGAGTGCCCCAGAGGTAAGCCAATAAATAACTGGCTCCTGAGTGTCAAAGAAATAGTTCAGTTCCCTATTCTCTTGACTTCAGATTTCCCGGGAAGTCAGAGAGGAAAGAAATAGGGTGCTCCTGAAAGAGAAGATACAAAACCAAGAAACTGGTGGCATGGACAACATGCTTTGCCCATTTCACAATTAGGGTTAATAATTACAGTTTGGCTAGACTTGGTCAGGACCAGGGAGGGGATGCCTGGGGTGAGGAGTCTGTGTCAGCAGCTTGCTAGGCTGGGCTTGAATCCCCAGTGATCTGGCGGGACAGAGAGGTCCTGTCCCCATCTGTTGACTGATGGAATGACTGCCTCCATTCCACTGTGGGGACCAAGCCACCCACCTGAAAATGTGATCCTTACCAGCCTGGGCACAGAGGACTTTGATTTGGTGTGGAGCTGATTAAACGATTGTAGATGTCCTTGGAAGCACTGTATGGAAGAATTTTAAACAGCTTCTCCTTTTTAATATGCACTTCCTATTCGGTTTTAATTATTTTGTTCCTACATTTTCCCTTTCAATTTACTAAAATCTAGAAATGTAATTAGAGCAGAGCCTGGGCTCAGAGAAAGCTGCCAGCATTTCTACAGCGTGATTAAATATACTAGGCATCCCTTTAGTGTGGAACTGAAAAATAGGATTCTCATTATTATCTTTCCCTTATCCAGGAAAGAATCGGCACCACATACAGATACGGATTTATTGAAAATGCAGCACTAATTAAAAACTCACCCAGCCTCTTGACAAGGTTTGGGGGGAGTGGAAGTTATTTAATTATTTCTTCCATTTACTGTTTTGTTGTTTTAGCCACAACAAGCAAGAACTCCCCCACCCTACTCCTCTATCATCAAAATATTTTTTTCTCTCTTCATGAAGGACTTAATGAGGTTTTTATCTATGCAACAACAATCAAACTTACAATGGCACCAATTCAATTCATAGCGCTTTGTGATGGTAGAAAGTATGCCGAACTCATTTTCTTAATCCAAAAGACAAATGACGAAAGCATTCAATTGGCTGTTATGGGCCATGTTTGGGCAAGAGATGTGTCCCAAAAGATCCTGAGATGTCTGGTACATATTCTAACAACAAGACTGTCTAGTTCCATTTTATAGTTCAGGAAGTAAAGGCATGAGACCCTGGGTGGTACAATTAACACACTTGGCTACTAGCCAAAAGGTTGGCAACTGGAATACTTACAGGGGTGCCTAACAAAAAACTCCAAAACTTAGAAGCTGCACTGCAATCCCAGAGGTATACAGTTCAAATCCACCAGATGCTCTACTGGAGAAGGAGGGGCCATCTCCTCCTGTGCCAGTCAGATCCAGTTTGACAGTACACACAAAATAATAAAATTTTAAAAAAATTTTTTCTTCTAAGTTTTATTTACAAAGCCTGCTTTTCGGACCACAGTCCTATTATTGTGAATTCTTTGGGTAGTCCTGTGAGGTAGACAATGAGTCTCAAAGATTTCAGTAATGTTAATTTTTTTTATTTTATTATTTTGTGTGTTTGTACCGTCAAATTAGATCTGACTGGTACAGGAGGAGATGGCCCCTCCTTCTCTGGCAGAGCATCTGGTGGATTCGAACCACATTATCTCTGGGATTGCAGTGCAGCTTCTTGCCACTAGGCCACCAGAGCTCCCCTAAAAATATTTTTTAAAAAACCAAAACTTAGTGACTACTTCTGAAAGACCAGCCACTGAAATCCCTATGGAGTCCAGTTCTCTGACTCACATGGGGTCACCATGAGTCTCAGTCAGCTCAATGACAGAATTGACTTCCCTGGAAGCTAAATGGGAGGTGGTGGCAAGAAAGACAGAATAAAAGTTGACAAACTCTCATTTGGTCATAGGCACTGTAAGAAGAGAAAGTCTTTCTGTCTTATTTATATATTTTAAGTGAGTTGGTCAATGAGTCTTCTAGCCCAACGACCTGTTGTGGGCTGAACTCATGTGCCTGGGAGATAGAGAAAGGAGGATCCTGTGTAAGAGTATGTCACTGTGCTCTAGATGCCCCCAGTCAGAAAGAACAGAAGTAGATAAAGAAACACCCCAGGACACAGGTGTGAGGTCATGCACAAAAAAGCACACCAACAAGAATGCACTGATGATATAAGATCAAAAGAGTAGTATTTGCCCAGAGATGAAGCTCAGAAGCAGGAATGAAAAGGCTAGAAGAGTGAATGGAAACAAAAATCACAAGAAGAAAGTGGGAAGAGTACTGTTAAATGTGGAAATTGTAATCAATGTCATAAAACAAGATGCATATGGGTGGCTGAAGGGAAAAATCAATCTATTCTGTAAATAGTCACTCAGATCAATTAAAAAGTTAAAATAGAAAAAAATAACACATTGATAAGATTGTAATGGGTCCACTGTGATATTTATAGAAAATTGACAATGGATAAATATTTATTTATTTATAAAATTTTATAATGATATATGAACTTTGTAAGTTATCTAGTATAAAATAAAAATTTCATTTTAAAAAACCCTTCATAATGAGGCAGGTTATGAATAAACACCATACTGGTCTAGAGAATCAAATAAAATACTGTGATGTAAACTTGGGCATCTCACCAAATCTCTAACTCAAAATTGTACAAAATAATGTCCACCTTACCATATTGTTGTGAGAATTAAATTAAATCATATTTGAGAATAGCATAGTCTTTGGCAAAAAGTAGACTCCCCTCACCAAATATTTGCCCACTACCTATCTGTGTCACTGCTGGGTTGGCAGTGCCATGATAGATGGGGGGGGGAGATTGAGATTGTTAATAGCTTCAGTTTGGTAGGTACCACATTCATCACTCTTGGCACCAGCAGTCAATAAATCAAAAGACAAATTGCATTAAGCAAAATCAGCTGTCAGGGACCTCTCTAGAGTGCTGGAGAGCAACGATGTCAGTCTAGAGACTAAGGTGACCCGATCCAGGCCATGATCTTCACAGTGACTTACTATGGATTAGAGAGCTGGACAATGACCAATGATGACAGAAGAAGAATTGGTGTCTTTGAGTTATAGTGCTGGAGAAGACTATTGAACATGCCATGGGCTGCCAAGCAAATGTTTTGGAGAGGGTGAAACCAAGCTGTTCCTTGGAGGTAAGGATTTTGAGGCTCTGTCTCACATACTTTAGGCAGGTCACCAGGAGGGACCAATTGTTGGGGAGGGATATCATGTTTGGAAGGGTAGAGGAATACAGGAGAGGAAGATCCTGGATGAGGTGGGTTGACACAGTAGGTGAGGGAAAGAGGTTAGGTGTGTCAGAGACAGTGGATTGACTCAGGATAGAGCAGGCTTCAGAGCTATTGTACATAGAGGGTTGCTATGAGTGCAAGTCAACTTGATGGCACATAACAACAACAACCTGTCAGTTTGTCTTACCATGTGTCTTGTATATTGCTATGAAGT